AGACACATAGCCTCAGTGACCGCTCATTTAAGTCTTCGTTGTCTAGTGTAGATCCTGCTATAGTAATTTGATCAATGATTGTTTTAACTTCAGTGAGATATTGAGTCGTCGTTTGATTCTTCATTGCAAGATTGTGTAATTCATTCTTGAGTAGAATTACTTCAGATTTGTTTTTGGCTTGCAGGCGTCATTCTATGGTGCTCCAGTTGGATGAGCAGGAATCTGATAGGAAATACTTGTATTCACAAGCAATCCTAACCCAAATCAAGTACCTAAACAAAGAAAACTGCTGTCCACAGCAGTAAAACAGCCAAAATAGTGAAAAAACAGAGGAAATCTGAGAGAAAACTTGTAGGAAAACCAATAGAGCAATTGTATTTCACTAGTAGATTCAAGAAACAATCAAAGATACAATTTCCTTCAATTCGAGAGGAAGGAATAACTCTCCCAATCTCTGGCAACGCCAAGAGCCCAAAGCAAGAAAACCTAGATCTCAAAAATACATTCAAACTCAAGATAACCTCTCCCTCCAAACAGTGTAACTCCACCAAGTAGTCTCCCCCTTCCTCCTGGATGGTCCGGATTAGGGATTTGAGTGACACCCCAGCCCTGGTCAGCCCAGCATCTCCTTGGATCACCCTTCTTCTTCCCCCCATCACCAGCTCCATCCTCAATGTCCCCCAATTGATCTTGGTTTCCCCCAAGGTCTACAGTCATTTCATCCCAAGGATGACATCCGTACTCCCCAATTCCAAGGGAAGGAAGTCTTCCTTCACATGGATCCCTTGAATCTTCAGTACTACTCCCCGACAAACTCCTCTACCCATCTCCACTTTCCCCGTGCCCATCATAACCCCATAGCCTCCGGTATCCATTAACTCCATTCCCAACAACTCAACGATCTGGTTGGAAATGAAATTGTGGGTTGCCCCACTGTCAATCAACACAATCACCTCACGGTCAGCTATCTCTCCTCTCACTTTCATTGTATGACTCGGGGTGAATCCCACTACAGAGTTCAGAGAGACTTTTGCCACATCCAAGTGCAGCTTCTCTTCCTCCTCATATCTGCTTCCACCTCCCTCCTCGTCTTTCTCGTCTTCACAAACAAGGAGAACCTGAAGAGTTCGGTCCTTGCACCTGTGCCCCAGCATGTACTTCTCATCACATTTGAAGCACAACCCCTTTATTCTCTTATCCTGCATCTCCTTTTCTGTCAACTTTTTGAACTGACCCCCATTTCCCCCTCCCGTCTTCTCCTTGGGTGCTTCCTTCTGACCCCCTTGTGCTCCCCCTTTCGATGGTAAGAAAGTGGTAGTCATCTTGTATGATCCCCCAGAATAGTTCCCTCGAGCTCCTCTTTCTGATCTCTTTTGATCTTCCACCAACTGCGCTAGCTCCATAGCCTTTCCCAGGTTCCTCGGCTACAACACCCTGACTGCTGTTCGGATCTCTGGTTTTAGCTCCTTCATGAAGTTCCCTTCCAAGGTTGACTCTAAAATGTGATCCAATCTGCTAGCCAAGTACTCAAATATGTCCCGATAATCTGCCACAGTCCCCTCCTGAGTCAGGGCAAAGAATTGCTCATAGAAGTCTCCTCTCCCATCGGCCGGAAACGCTCTAATAAGCAATCCTTGAACTCTCTCCAGCTCCGGATGGGCTCCCTCCTGTCACGCCATTGATACCATACCAAAGCTTTTTCTTCCAGACACAAACCCGCCGCTGTCAACGTTTCCTCCTCTATCAACCCATTGACAGCGAAGTAACGCTCCACCTTGTAGATCCAGCCATGGCCGTCTTCACCCTCAAAGACGGGAATCTTCAGCTTTCTCACCCGTGGGTCTGCCCCGCGTCCCTTGAATCCTCCATATCCTCCCATCCCTCGAAGATGAGGTGCTCCCCAATTGTCACGATCTTCCCTCTGGCGATTGTACCCGAACCCTTCGTCATATTCTCTTCTCCCTTCAAAATTAGCCCCTCGATGATGGAATTATTCCCTTCTCCCGATGAAATCAACACCCCTCCGATCATTCCCCAAACTCATCTCTTCTCTAGAAAGTGGCTCTAGAGGTGGCATGTCGTCCTCCCCCTCAATGACTTCCACTTCTGAATTTCTCCTCCCCCTAAAAGGGTTTGGATTCCCTCCCCCGACATGGCCTCCGGTGGTCTCTCTTACTTTCGATGTCGTCAGATTTTTCTTCATATCAAGTAATTTTTTAAGCATTTCTTCCATCACGGTGAACTTCCGCTCCAACCTTTCATTGTTGGTGGTGATTTGATTTTGAAAATAAAAAAATCTTCCCTCCAAATCGGATTTCAATTGTCCGACTTCGCTTTCCAAGACTTTTACCTTCTTTCCGGTCATCGTTCTTCCCAACGGATTTAAAAAAACTCACTTCCGGAAGCTAAAAGCTCGCTGAAAAATCGGGATTTCAGCCGCCTAAGGTCCCCAATCGATGCTCTGATACCAATTTGATAGGAAATACTTATATTCACAAGCAATCCTAACTCAAATCAAGTACCTAAACAAAGAAAACTGCTATCCACAGCAATAAAACAGTGGAGAAACAGAGGAAATCTGAGAGAAAACTTGTAGGGAAACCAATAGAGCAATTGTATTTCACTAGTAGATTCAAGAAACAATCAAAGATATAATTTTCTTCAATTCGAGAGGAAGGAATAACTCTCCCAATCTCCGGCAACGCCAAGAGCCCAAAGCAAGAAAACCTAGATCTCAAAAATACATTCAAATTCAAGATAACCTCTCCCTCCCCCCAATCCTCCTAATTAACAATAAAGAAGTTTTACAAAATACCTAAAAAGCCCTTCTATCTCAAAATTTTCCCCCAAACCATGCATTTAACCCATGCTTGGGCCCACCAAGCTGCCGCCCCCTCCTCTGGATTTCGCCTAGTTCGCCCGACCTTGAGCCGTCGGGTGTAGAACCGGACCGGTCCAGCTAGGATAGGTCCAAGCGTAACAAAATCTAAATTAATGACGTAAGGAAGAATCGATGACGATATTGTAGAACAGTGCAGCTGCAAGATTTTGGTCGATCAGAATCCATTCGGCATATTATGAATTCAAGACTGTGCTACCTTTTGTTGTCTGAGTAAATTTCTCTGGCGGACTAGCTATGGGAAGAAGAAACGACATGAATCCGTTTGCTTTAAGCAATTTAAGAATATGAGATTTCCATATGGGGTAATTTCCATTTGAGAGTTGTGTGGGAACTATTGTCTGAATATTGGAGATCATGAATTTGAGCGAAGCAGGTATTTGACATCCTTCTGCTGCGACTACTTTCGCTGGTTCGCCAATTTGAGAGGAAAAAGATGATTGCGCCATGAACGACCTTCTCTAATACCATAAAGAATTCAGTTATGCATTCTTGTATTCAAGATGTCTAATTACAAGACCCAGGGATGATGTATATATAGAGTAATAACAGAACTTTCTAGAGTTAGCTAAGAGTTTGTTGAAGACTTAGATGAGTTGTCATTGAGGCAATGTGTCTTCCCGTAATTGGTCCAAGCTGATGCGATTATGTTATTTCTGTTATCAGTATTATTAATCATTGTTACGATAATTCAGAGGACCATTTCCTCATTACAGCTTATTGACCATTTTTCCAAGTCAGCTTCTCGGTCATTGTTGCACGTCACTTTTCTTTTTCTACCTAGCCATTTCTAAGGAATGATAGTCAAATGAAAATGAACTTCTAGGTGTGGTTTTGAGGGGCATTTTTGAGGTTATTGAACATAAGCTAATTTGTTAGGAAATACTTGGAATTCCCAAGTAAAATCTAACTATCTTGATGAAATCAGCGGGAACGATCCACAATTCTAAAGAAAAAACTAGAAAAATAGTAATTTTATTGCGATAATCAACTAACGGAAGAAGAAGAACAAGATACAATTGATCCTCTATTTGAGTGGATGATCTAGCTCTCCCAAATCTCTAGGCACCGCTAGAGCCCAAAAAACCCTAAGAGATCTCAAATTCAACCAAATTCAAGATGTCCTAACCCTAGGAAAATGAACTATTTAATGCATACAATCCAAATCAGAAGGGTCGGTTGGCAATGTATGCCAAGCACATCCTTTAATTGATGGGCACTGTATGCTTATCAAGACATATGACCGACATAAGTTATGGATAAAATAGGTTTGGCATGCTCGACCAACCCTACTTAAAATAATAATAATAATAATAATGCATACAATCTAAAAGGAAATATCTAAACAGTCCTTACTTTCAAATTTCCCTTCTAACTCCTTTCAAAAACCTTTCTAAACCACTTTGTTTGGGCGTCGGATCGTGTAGCATATGCAGGAGGCAGAGAGTTCCTCCTTTGCTTGTTCGTAGGCCGGTCCCGTATGGGCCGGTCTAACATAATTCCTTCCTCGGCTATCTAATTTTCTCGAAAAGCTGCTGCATTTTTTTGTGTTACTTTCGTAAAATCAATGCAAAAGTCATATTTCTTCAATCTTAAAAGATTGAAAAATTGAATGCCATCCGTATGTATCTCCGATTAAAATTACCAAACCACCCGGGTCACATCCAACTGAATTATAGAAATTAATCTATTAGTCAAATTCTGAACGATATTTGAGAAATTTAAATATAAATATGATCAGACCACCTTCACATGAAAATTTTTTAGGAAATTGAAAGGTTTTTTTTACTGAAAGTTCAACAGATCTATTACTGAAGTAATACCTGTAATTGATTATAATCAAAGAATTATATACATTCACAAGATTCTGATTCTTTATTTCTTTGAATGCAACATTCTTAGAGGAGCCCAATACTAGCGTACAATTGTTACAGAAATGAATCTCTCTTCATCTCTTTCTAGTATCTCATTCACTATGCTTTCATATTCATCTCGAGTGTTGACCCATATAAAAAATATGATATCTTGAACTGCCTTTTAGATTTCAGGCTTCATAGAATATTTTTCTTCTTTCCTTGAGAATAATGTAATTCCATGCTTATTTTAATAGAATATGATTTCTCTTTTAACGCACAGGTCAGAGAAATTATAGAATGGGGAAGTTCCTGGAAACAAACGCTTTTCTCGCTACTTGAAGATGTTCCTATTGATCTTCGTTCATATATTGTTTCCATATCTATTGACGGCACTTCTGCAACAACTATTATAATTGACAGGTGGATGTCTCTTCCAAATCTTTATTTCCTGTAGTTTCTGTCTCGGTGTACATTAGCATAAATTAAATACCCTCTAAGTGTGGATTCAAATTTGTGAATATAGCAAGACGGGAGAATTACTGTCCAGACCCTTTCTTTATAATGAAAGTCTTTCAGATGCTTTGCCATTTGTTTCTTCTATTGCTCCCAAAAACCACACTGTATGCTCTGGGTCATCAACACTCTGTAAGCTTGTTTCATGGTGGAATTCGTATGGTTCAAACAAAAACTCTGCCTTGTTGATGCATCAGGCTGACTGGTTACTCTGGCTTCTTCATGGAAAACTTGGCGTAACTGACTATAACAATGCTTTAAAGGTCTGTAGTTATATTAGCCACTTTATTTCGTTAATTTATTTCTTGATTTACGAGTGTAGTAATAAAATAGTGTTAGTTTTTCTTGAACTTTCCAACGTCTAATGCCTTTTGTATGCATTAGTAACTTATGATTATGTAGGTTGGATATGATCCGGAGGCTGACTCCTATCCTAATTGGTTGCTCTCTCAACCATTTTCAGTACTATTACCTTCTGTCAAAGCACCAGGAACCCCTATTGGTTGTTTAAAAGAGGACATCAGATTGCAATTCGGTAAATCTTCCTTCTATGTCGTGTGGAGAATAAGATGAATGATAGGCTGATATATGCATTTTTAAAACCAAACTCAAATAGTTGGGACATGACTAAAATTCATGCAAAAAAAATGCACAAACTATAATTAACACCTCTAGTAGTACTCAATAATTAATGGAGTGGGAGGTTTCATAGAATCAACTCCTAATATCTGCTATAAGACTAATAATGATGGTAATGATGATGCTGGATCTATTAATATCATTTTTTTTTTCAATTTATTGATCATAATGATTCAATCTGCTATATTTATGGTAATGACTCTTTGTAGAAGTGATGAAAGAATTATTATTGTTGGTATCTTATCTATACTCTATCTATTAGCAATTTTAAATTGCCTGGATGGGGAACCCCGTATTCTAGAATCAAGGATCAAATTCTTGACCACATCACTATTTGTCTAATTTTTTTGCACCACACCACATTGGTCAAGGGGACTACAACTTATAGACATACAATTTTTGGCAATAAGATTTCATTTCTTGTTGCAGTGATCTTAATACTTGCTTTTTAAGTATTTTATTTTTTTATTTTTATGTTGACCACAAATGTATTCATGTGGTGATATTATCTTCTAGAATTGGAACATTAAGTATGGCCAATGATGCGAAATAAGCAATATAAATCATCTAGAAACTTGATATGATCCTGATTGTTATTAATTTAGTAGAATAATTAGCTTGAGTATGAGCCCGGTAAGCTTCTAAATACTCTAATTGAGGAGTAGGAGGCATTATGAATGATGAATGTTCCCCATCTATCTTAGTTTTCTCTTTTCTTTCTTTTGAGAGTGATAGATGGAGCGTGGTGCCCGGAAGTACGAGCACCGAGTGTCGGCTTTAGGAGTGCCAAGGGGACAGAGACCTATACGACGCTGTTCACGGATCATGGATGACAATGGTAACCCTTTCACTCCTCCCTTTCTTTTTATTGGCATTTAATTTGTTGCTTGGTAATCTAAACTTGAATCATTTTCTAATTTTGACGTAGGGCGACATGATGATAGTCACACTGCTTCTGATGGTACTTCGCCTTCTCCTGTTAGACTACGAGATATAGGATTTGATTCGCACTGTACCAAGGCCCCTTGGTCTTCTCACAGGCGTTCAGGTTCTCGACACGCTAAGCCTTCCCGTGCTTCTATAGATCAGACAACTAGCCCTATGCTAGAGCACTTTCTGGCCCCTAAGGAAGTGTCAGTGGGCCCCCGAATGTCCATGGATGTACCATTCCTTTTCAGAGGGTCCAGAGGGGATATCCATGGTCCCAAGATGTCAGATTTCACCCGATATGGTGCACCAGATCCCTTTACAGAGTTCAATTTTCAGGTGGACCCGTATGGGTCTTTATGGCCTAAAGAGACATCTGGAGCTAGGTCGTTCTGGCCTGGTGAGTCATCAGGAGCTGGTTTAGCTTCACCTGTAGAGCCTCTCGACGTGCTGTCATACACACCAAAAGTCCTGGACTTAGCACTAGTGGCTGCAACATTCTACCTAGAGGCTCGTCCTACTGACTTTGCTTGCTCCTCTTCAGGTATGTTGTTATTGCATTTTAATTCTAAATTGCATGCATTTTTCATTAGCTTTTACTTACGTTTATTATTTGTGGACTTTCCTGCAGTACTCGAGGGAGCATATTACGTGTTAGAGATTCGTTGTCAGCTCCAGTAGCTCCTTACCCTTGGCATAAAAACATGTATGGCCATTGCAAGAGTTTCCTGCGAGACTTGATAGCCCAAGTAGATCCTGGATCTCCTGAATCCTTAGAGCAATTTACTTCTACATCAAATCATACTCTTGGTCTACTGGCACAGATTGGATTAGAGGATTCAGAGATGCAGTACTGGGAGACTTTGTGTCGGGAGGTTGAGTTTTATATCAGGAGGCTACAATCTCTTTTTGTTCTACGCACTAGAGTCTCATTACTAGAGTTGCAGGAGAAAGTCGCTAGACGCCGGGCAACGGCTAATGTAGCACATGATCAATTTGATAAGAGCACTGAGGCTCTTAAGAGACATCACCAGAGTTTATCCAACATGGCCAACAAGATTAAGGGACTGACATCTCATGTGAATGACCTTTGGAAAGACATCAAGGGGGTGATGTCTCAGAAGTCAAATCTCCAGGAGGGGCATGATTGGCGTGATCGGCTCATCAGGAGGGAGCAACAGTACAATCAAATGTTACATCAGGCGTTAATGACTGTTGAGACTGCACTGACTCAGGCTATAGAACTGTCGAGACTAAGTACCAGACTTTAGCCGAGATCGTTTCACAATTGGGGGACATACAAGCTCGTCTCCTTCGATATACTTTTTATTTTTTTGCATCTTTTTTATGAGATATACTCTGCCACCTTTTTTATTGATTGTATTTTATCCAGATTTTATGGATTGCATTGAGCATTTTCTGCCATCTTCTCTCTTCTAGTTGTATTTTGGCATGATTTTAAATATTTATTTGGTGATCTCGGCACGTGCATGATGTTGACTCAAATAAATATTTAAAATACCCCAATCTTTAGGAACAGTTGTAGATTTTACTCACGAAACTCCTTTCACGACTATGTCTTGAGTTTTGAGATTTTGGTTCCTTCTGTCTTATGTTTTGTGCGATGGACATATTGATGATAAAATCCTCTTAGTTCGGCCTTAGACTTTTCATGAATTTTGAGATGATTTCTTCAATTGTTTGCTTTACACTTTGGTGTACTTATTGAAGAAGAATTCTTTCAATCCTCGCTTTGTGATTTATGAATTTGTTGAAGGATTTGTAGGTTTCGAGTTGAATGTGTAATACTAGATGTAGGTAGTATTTTGACCCTTAACTGGTTGTGAAGACTTCACTCTGGGTTATTTGAGTTCATCAGACTAGAAAAGTTATGACTTGATAACTCTTTATCGTTCAGCTACTATAATTGAGGTTCCGTTACTACGTCCTTTCTTATGGCTTATTGAGTAGATGGAGTTGCTAGCAACTCGACCACATCTTGACTTGTTGAACCCGACCTCATACGCCCGCTCAGACTTCAGAATTAAGCTATGGAGAAATGCGCTCCCCAAGCTGAATTTGTTGAAGTTTTGAGATTTTTAGTCAACCTTTGTGGTTTTAGATTTCGGAGCCTATGCATATTCCATAGTTGTGTTGATTGGGAATATATCCTTCCCACCGTTCAATTAGGAGAATCTAATTGACTACGACTATTGAAACTTATCAAGTCAAATAAGCATTTGTGCTTCTTGCAGTCACTACTGACGGGTTGACGAAGTGGGGTTCCGCTACTACAGTCTTTCTTATGGCTTATTGAGTAGGTGGAGCTCTCAGCGGCTCGATCACATCTTAACTTATTGAGTTCGACCTCATATGCTTATTTAAACCTTAAACTTCAGGCCGTAGAAGAACTTGTGCTGCTCTAGCTCAATTTGCTAGAGTGTGTAGCCACGAAAGACTGTTTCCTCGACCTTCGAAGCCTTAATATGTTGGAGAAGGTGATGTTCCAGACATTTTGGGGAATCAGTAGTATACATTAAAAGTGAAACTGTCATATCCCTCTTCTTGAAGGAGCTTTCATATTGTTAAGTGATTTATTTTAGATATTCATTTAGGGATCTCGGCGCGAGGCACGATGTCGAACCAAATGAATACTGAGATACTCTCTCCATATTGCAGGAGAGAGTTAAATATGTTTTATAATTCATAATTTCAAATATCTATTTGTGGATCTCGGCGCGAAGCAAGATGTCAACCTACATAATATTAGAATTCCCCTTTTATTTCAAGGGGGAATCATGTAAATTCTACATTTCATAATTCTAAATATTTATTTGAGAATTTTGACATGCAGCACGTTGTCGACCCAAATAAATATTTAAAACACCCCTTGTCTTGCAGGAGATTTTTATGGGATACTTGAAGTATTTTCTTGTGTTATAGGAGCATTTCAACTATTATATGGTACATTTAAGTATAAAATTGTTTTGAGTAATCTTAATACATAATACTTCTTCAAATATTGATCGTTGATCAGCGGCATGAGCCTTTAACCGTTCAAATCATTGAGTTAATAAGCTCCTCCTAGTTGGATACAAATTTTTCATCAATTTTTTGGTGTGGAATGATTAACCTTCTCTGCACCAGGATTAATTCTCTTTCTTGAAATGCACGGTGATGCACCATTCGATCAATGGATTTTGACATCCTTGCTCGATAAATTTTAAAGTTCTACTGAGCACGCAGTCTGACTTCATCAGGTGCATCATGCTCCTTCATTCTCAATCAAGTATTTTGTTCTTGAGTAAGATCATACTTGATAGCGATCTGAGGAGATGATAGTTCAATTTCTAGTGGTAACACCACTTCAACTCCGGACACTAGTGAATATGGAGTGGCTTTGGTTGACATTTTGTAAGTTGTACGATACACCCACAATGCCTCTTCCATCTTCATGTACCACTCTTTTATTCTTGGTGAGAATTTTCTTCAGCAATTTTACTAGTGTTTTGTTAAATATTTCTGCAAAGCCATTTGTCCTTGGATTATATATTGAGGAATATCACTAATCAATTTTGTGTTGATCAACAAACTTGTAGATTTTGGTGCTTTTAAAGGTTGTGTCATTGTCCAAGATTATGCGGCGTGGTACACTGAATTTATAGATAATGTTGTGAGTAAAGAAGTTGATTACATGTTTGAATGTAAATTCTTTGAATGGAGCCGTTTTGCCCACTTAGAGAAGTAGTCGGTTGCTGCCAGGATGAAGCGGTGTCTTGCTGATGACGGTGAATCTATCTGCCTGATTACATCAGCACCTCAACATTCGAATGATCAAGACGCTATCGTGGGGTGCAGTAGATTTGGCGATTAATATATAACATCATCGTGAATTTGATACTTGTGGCACATCTTGGCGCAGTCAATGACATCTTTCACTATGGACGACCAATAATAGCCTATTCTTTTTATTTCAACAACCATCTTGGGACCTCACGGATGTGAACCATAGAGTCTATGAACCTCTGCTACGACCCTATCAATTTCCTTGGTTCATAGGCATCTTAGCCACATCTGGTCAAAAGCTCTTCGATACAGCGTGTTGTTGAAAAACATGTATCGCAATACTCTCTTCCTGATTTGCGCAGTTAATGACTTTTTCGTCGAGAGATTACTTTCTCTGAAGTAGTTAATGAAAGGCTGCCTCCAATCATCTTCTTCTTTGACATCTAAGCAGTACCACCATGATTCTGAAGCGTGGCTAGATTTTCATCTTCTCTTGGTCGCTTGATGTTCCTCTGGCTGGTTTCAAGATCAACTGGTTGGGGAGGTGGAGGATCAACCAGAGTTGCATCCTGCTAGCTCAAATTTGATATTCCCTCTTCTTGCAGGAATTGTAGAATTGCTGGCTCTAAGGCATGGCGAGTGTAGACTCCAATCAATATGCACTACAGGAAAACCTGTTATTACCAAAACGCCGTAAACGTTACGTCGCATTATTCCGCCGGAAACTGCGCCGACAATGCCGGCGCAAACAAATCCGCCGGAAATTCCGACGGTAATCACGTGTTTTCCCGTAGTGATGGGCTCATTGTCGACCATATTCGTAATTTCTTTAGTCAGTTTTTTCCATGCAATCGACTTTGCTATTTTGGGCTGGGGAACTCGAGTTAATTTGACTGCTGGAACTTGCTTCATTAGCTCGAGGACTTGCCAATAATAATAGGTTAATTCGAATTTGGTGATTTTGTAAACTCTCTATACCTGATTTATAACAAGTTGGGAATCATCATATATCTGGAGGCTTTGGATTCTGATTGAGATTGCAATCTCCAAACAGACTATCAAATACGTATTTAGCCTCATTATTAGTTCGAGGTTTAGTCAAGTTGAATGAAAATCTTATTATGTCTTCCTCATGCACTAGAAAATGAGCCCAATATTAGCTTGAGCTTTTGCTAAATTTGGTGGATGGGCATACTTAATTGACGATGTTTTGTCTAAGTACATCTCCAATACTTGTAGCTTCCCCTTCTCTTCGACATGCATGATCTGTTCCTCGGGCAGATTGTCGTTGAGTGGTAAGTTTGTAGGGATTGGATGTGCGGTGAGGAAACCTACCAGGGCTTGCCCCTTTACCACCTTTTGTGACATGTACGTGATATCAAACTGTAGTAGTGCCACTGCTCACCTAGTTAGGTGACCTATCAACGTTAGTCTTGTCATCGAAAACTTTAGCAGATTAATCTTTGATATCAGCATAATTTTGTGAGACAACATGTAGTGGCGGAGTTTCTGAACTGCGAAAATTAATGCCATACAATACTTCTTAATTGGAGTATCATACTTCTGTTCTAATCAACCTTCGATAGATGTTGCGGTCCATGCTCTTGACATCATCTACATAGCACTCGATCTTTTAATGTATTAACTCATCAAAGATACTCGTCATTGCCTTCTAATAGGTAGCACTAGTATTCTTCAGGCTAAAGGGCATGACTGTGCAACAAAATATGCCAATGGGCATTCTGAACGACATTTGTT